GCCTCTGCTAATTATTCACTTAGCTCTTTTTGGTTTTGAATGTCCATAGAAATAGTCTAGGGTTAACAGCTCCCCAAAGTAGGGCTTGTTCCCCAAAAACACAGGCCTCTGCTAATTATTCACTTTACTTAGCTCTTTTTGGTTTTGAACGTCCATAGAATTAGTCTAGGGTTAACCTAATCATGTACCCAGAGGATTGCCTGCCAATCTTGATGGGATTAGGCCAAAACGTCACATCCGGAGGGTGGGGGCTGAGCACGTCACTTCCTTTTAGGGCTGTGCCCTATTGACGTAATCAGCACGTGGGCTTGTTTACTTTGATGACGTCACTGATCAAAAGTGCTGATAATTTTCATTAAAAAAAGGTATACACTACTTCTACTAGCGAATATCTCCATGTTTACAAGCATAATTTAACCCTTACAGAGGAGCAAAAAAGTGATACTAAAGTCATCCTAGATGCCTTAGAACAGGGGTCCCCAACCTCTGGTCCGTGGACCAGAACCGGGCCACGGCATGCCAGCAACCGCCCTACACAAATAAGCAAAACCCCATCCATGGGATGTAGGCAGCATACAAAACCACGCCCTCTCTGGTCCACGGAAAAACTCTCTCCATAACCAGTCCCTGGTGCCCAAAAGATTGGGGACCTCTGCCTTAGAAGTCTTTTTCATTTTTCTAAAAATGTCATATATGAAAGATATATATTTGGCAGTTGTAAGCAAGAAGAAGGTAAAGCAATAGACAGTTTTGTCAAATGCCTAAAAGCTGCAAGCTGTGATTATGGCTCTCTGAGAGATGAATTTGTGATAAAATAGTTCTGGGTATTGCTAGTGAAAGCACACCCCGTCACTTTATGAGGGAGCACACTTTAAGTTTAAAAGCAGCAATTGAGATATGTTGTACCACAGAACTTACTGACAAATGGATGAGAGCTTTGGAGCAGGATAAACAGATTGACAGTGTCAATACAGCCTCCAAACAACGGTTAAGCACATGCGTTAGCACAAAATTCATCTACACAACTCACCTGGGAGCAACCCAGTATCATGCAAGTACTGTGGCAGTGGGCATGTACGAGAGAAACAGCAGTGTCCTGCATATGGGAAAATCTGTAGGGCATGTGGGAAACCAAATCATTTTGCAGGAGTAAAGTAAAATGGAAGCAAGGAAGCTGCACAAGTAAAATGGAAACAAGGAAGCTGCACATAATTGAACAAATGTAAGATCCCGAGGATGCACACTTGCTTACCACTGATGTGGTTTACATAAAGCAGTGTTTCCCAAAGTGTGGTACGCGTACCCCCAGGGGTACGGGAAGAGTTTGGTGGGGGTACGCGTTGCACCGGAGTTTAGTGGGGATCACGTGGGAATATCCACTGCACCGTGCTTAGCTGCACCCACAGAACAAAGAAAGAAATAGGCGCGTATCGCAGTTTTTACACGGGAACTGGGGCCATCATACATCGTATCGCAACTCATTATGATGGGAACTTCTGCGCATCCTTCGCGCAGCTCTGGTTCGGCCATTTTTAAACTGCGGGAACATTAACAGTTAATGTTGAGCCTCGGAGCTGTTTAAAAGCCAGAGAATTCCAGTGTTATCAACGGTTAGACAGTCTTGTGAGGCGTGACACGGCGTGAATATACTGCACTTCGTTATAGAGACAACTTACTTCTTTAATAGTTAGTTCCGGGCGCCTGTTATCGTGCTTTAGTAAGTTCCACTGATTTTGATTATTTTTATAAAATACAATTTTTATCCCTAACAGAGATTATGGATGGCTGGTTGAAATCTGGAACTACTAAACCGAAAGAAAGTAATGATTGTAATAGCAATCAACGAACAGGAAATAATGAAATTAACGACGAATCAATTTCAATTCTGAAAGAACCTGTTAAGAAAAAAGCAAGGAAAACTCACAAGTACGACAAAGAATATCTTAAATTTGGATTCTCATGGACTGGAGATGAAAATGAGCCTATTCCACTTTGTGTCATTTGTTTTGAAAATCTAACAAATGAAAGCATGAAACCATCCAACTTAAAGCGCCATTTTGAGACAAACCATAATCAGTACAAAGATAAACCCATAGATTTTTTTGAAAATAAACTTAAGGGTTTAAATCAGTCTCGAAAAGTAATGCAGGGTTTGACGGGAGGTGACAATCAAAAAATACTAGAAGCTTCGTATCGCGTGTCACTTTTAATTGCCAAATGTAGTGCAGCGGAAACCATTGGCGAAATTTTAATCAAGCCTGCAGCCAAGATAATGGCAGAAGTAATGATAGGAGATAGAGCGAAACAAACTTTTGACCGCGTTCCTCTCTCAAATAATACAGTTCATCAACGAATCATTGATATGTCTAATAATGTAAAACGGATGTTATTATCTGATATTTCTCAAAGTCGTTATTATGCATTGCAAGTCGATGAGTCCACCGACATTGCGAATTTTGCAAATCTTATGGCGTTTGTTAGATACGAAAAAAATCAAGAAATTCATGACAACTTTTTATTTTGCCAGCCTTTATTAGATCACACAGCAGGAGAAGATATCTTTAATGTTATGAATACATTTATGCAAGAGAACAAAATTGATTGGAATAGATGTGTTGGAATAAGCACAGATGGAGCAAAAAGTATGGTCGGAATTAATAAAGGACTCATTGCAAGAATTCAAAATGTTGCTCCAAATGTCATATCCACACATTGTTGCATACACAGAGAGGCTTTGGCAACACGTAAGATGCCCGCTGATCTACAGAAAGTTCTGGATGAAAGCGTGAAAATCATTAACTACATTAAAAGCCGCCCTTTGAATGCACGACTTTTTTTGCAAATATGTGAAGAAATACCCAGCTGCTTTTTCATACCGATGTTCGTTGGCTATCTCGGGGAAAAATTCTAAACCGATTGTTCGAACTTAGACGTGAACTTCAGTGCTTTCTTAATGATAGATTTGAGCTGAGAAATTGTTTACATGAAATGGCTTTGTAAACTAGCATACTTAGCAGATATATTCTCTGTTTTAAATTGCCTCAACTTATCGTTACAAGGCAAAGAAATTTCATTGTTTCACGTTCAAGATAAAGTGAACGCTACCATCGCAAAACTAAATTTATGGCAAAAGAGAGTTGGTAATGGAGAAGTAGACTCGTTTCCCTCTCTTCATGAGTTTATAACAAGTTCGGCTACTAAAATTGAGGCTGATACTTTGAAATGCATAATACAGCATTTGGAGAGTTTGCAAGTTGGCTTGAAAAACTATTTCCCTGATTTAAACGAAAATATTGAATGGATAAGATATCCGTTCAACATTAACACAACATCCATGACAGAAGGTTTGTCGCATGCGGAAGGAGAGCAATTGTTGGAGTTAGCTTCGGACGGATTCTTGAGAAATAAACATAAGGAGTGTACTTTAACATCATTCTGGTTACAAATGCAACATGTGTATCCAGTTTTAACAGAAAAAGTCCTGAAATACATCTTGCCTTTTCCAACTTCGTATTTATGCAAAGTTGCTTTTTCTGCATTTGTAGACATTAAGTTGAAAAAAAGGAACAGACTATTGGATGTGGAACCGCATCTCAGATTAAAATTAACAACCAGGGAACCAAATTATGATGATCTGTCATCTCAACATAAACAATTTCATCCTTCTCATTGAATCAAATAAATGTTCTTTATAATATAACTTTCGTTTATTTTGTGTATGTACAAAAAAAAGAAAAAATAAATATATTTTGATTTTTATTAAAGCATATGTTTTTTATGAGGGGTACTCAGCGTTACGAAAATTATAGAAGGGGTACACATATGTCAAAAGTTTGGGAAACACTGACATAAAGGAATGCATTGATGCCATAAACTCTAAGGGCAAAAAATGGCTCATAAATCTCAGATTAAACAATATAATTCAAACCTGCCAGCTGGACTCAGTACAACATGTTATGTCATGAGTTTAAAGGACAAAATGAAACTGGCACCACGCTCCTATCTAGTGGACAATAGAGATGAAATTCTCTATTGTCGCAATTGTATGGATCTGTGTGTGGCTGAGAAGCCTGACTCGCAACCTGACTCTCCATATCCTGTAGACAGGCCAGACTCACCTGTGAAAAACGGTCATAAGTTACTTTTTTCAGTGCTGTTGTCACTAAATGAACTGTTGTTAAGTAAGGGACTACCTGTACATGGGCATATATATGAGGCAGTTTGGTGTAATGGCTAGGATGTTGGCCTAGAAACTAGAAGACTCTTTAAGTTCTCCTTCTGCCTTGACTGAACGACTTTGGGCCAGTCACCCTTACAAGATGGTTGTTGTGCAGAAAATAGGAGGAGTATCATATATGCTTGCTGCCTTGAATTACTCATGAAGTAATAAAGGCAGGATAAAAATCTACTAAATACAGTAGTCCTCAACTTACGACTACAATTGAGCCCAAAATTTCTGTTAAGTGAAACATTTGTTAAGTGAGTTTTGCCCCATTTACGACTTTTCTTGCCACAGTTGTTAAGTGAATCACTGCAATTGATAAGTTAGTAACCCAGTTGTTAAATGAATCTGGCTTCCCCATTGACTTTTGCTTGTGAGAAGGTCGCAAAAGATGATCACACTAAATATCAACCAATTGCCAATTCACAAATCATGTGGTCATAACTTAAGTAACTTTGTAACCTTGAACAGTCACTAAACAGGACTATCTATAAATAAAATGAGTCTATATAGTGGGACCTCATTTTGAATAAAACATAATACCAGACTTTCCAACCCAGTGCCTTTTAAGTATGTTGAAACTTGTCTCCCACCACTCAAGCAAGCATGGCCATTGCAATTTCTGCTGCATTACATTAGGGAAGACTTATTCGGGAAGGAGATATGGCTCCATTCGCTTGTAGCTTGTTTTACAGCTGCTCTCTAAAGTAAACCTGTCTCCTTTATTTTTTCCTAAGAATTAGAACCTCTTTGCAGAAGGAGAGGCACGCGTTACGTACGCCCAATGACAATCTTCGCAAAGGTTTGAGCAGGCGAGCCGAACTTCGAATTCTCGAACGCTCAAGTGACGGCGTGTGAGGCGTCCATTGATATCACAGTAACCACTAGGAGACGGGGAAACGGCATTGCGCACGCGTAGTTCGTTTCCCGCGGTTTTCCTGGGCGGTTGATTTAGCACGGGAAAGGGGCATAGAGGACGGGAGACTGCGATGGCTGCTTCCTCCGATGGAGGTAAGCCGCTAGTGCCCGTCACTCATGTCATCTTTGACCTGGATGGTACCCTCATAAACACCGAGGATATCTTTAACGCCATCATGAAAGAACTCTGTAGTCGCTATGGGAAGATGTACACTTGGAAGGAAAGATCCCAGATTATGGGTATGAAAGAAGTGAACGCCTTGGAAGTTCTCCGAAAGCTCTTCGACCTGCCTTTAACCGTTGAAGAAATCCTACGCGAAACCGCACAAAAGAAACGAGAACAATATCCCACCTCTGCCTTAATGCCGGGGGTGGACAAGCTGGTCCGCCATCTGCACGAGCACAAGATCCCCATTGCAGTCGCCACCAGCTCCATTCGCGAAGCGTTTGAGATGAAAACGGGGCAACTTAAGCCCTTTTTCGGCTTGTTCCATCACATTGTGATGGGAGATGACCCCGAGGTAAAAAACGGCAAGCCACAACCCGATATATTTTTGGTTGCTGCAAAGAAGTTCGAACCGCCGGTACCTCCGGCAAAGTGCCTTGTGTTTGAAGACGCCCCCAATGGAGTCAAAGCTGCCCTTGCTGCCGGCATGCAAGTAGTCATGGTCCCCGACGGCGGTTTGCCAAAAGAACTGACGAAAGAAGCCACCCGTGTCCTACAATCAATGAATGATTTCAAGCCAGAAATGTTTGGCTTGCCGAAGTTTGATTGACATTTGCTGTCTATTGATCTTACGGATTCAGGTTTTCCGACTGGAGAACATTCTTTAATATTAAAAGCATTCCAAAAATTCCTAAGTGGTACTATAACAGCATGCTTATTCCTGGATAATTCACTTATTGAAATCCATCACTGCTAGGTGGAAAAAGATGAGTTGTACTTATTATTCCTTTGTTGCTAAGGAATACCCTGCTAAGGAATAAACTGGTGCCTTGCATGGAAGTGTATGTAACTTACTCAGCAGTTTTCTATGCAAAATAACATCTTTGATCGCTATTCGTTACAACATTCTACATTCCTAGCTGGGGAATGCTGCAATCTTGTCTCCAATCGATATCCTATCCTCCCAAAACAAGATGTAGTCCATCTACTTACTGCTCACGTTAATTTGTTTCCAATATGATTAACCATGGCCTGTTAACTATAACATACTGCATGAGTCACTATTGTTTGGAGTTACACAATACTTCTGAATCCTATGCCATATTCTGTAATATAAGTAACGAATCCGTGCAGTTAGGTCAGGATCAGTAGTTTTGGACTACTGAAACTGGTGGTGGTGGAGGATAAATAGGCACTATTCCAAAATGGGTCCACTGAAAAGTCATCTTTGTTAACAAAATAGCTGGTAAGATAGGCAGCACAAATTATAAATCTGCATTTCTTGACATTATTGAGTAAATCTTTAGAGGGAGGAAAGGAGAGAAAGTCCAAGGTAGTTGGAATAGTGATAGTAAATGGGGGAAAGAGTAAAAAAGGCAGATATGGCGTAGGAAGTGATAAATAGGTTATTTTTTTGTTTAGAATGTTCAGTTTTTCTACCTAGCACAGGGGTGTCAAACTTGCAATGTTATGTGATATGTCACAACTTTTTTTTCATTGCTGGCAATGGGGTGGGCATGATGCCATTGTTTTTACCATGACGCATCCGGCCCATGGGCTGGCAGTTTGACACTCCTGACTTAGCGTATTTATTTGTATTGTCATTCCCCCCCCCCTCTAAAGTACTTATGGTTCAGTCTTTTGTCTCATGCATGATCTGCTCATCAGGTGGGACACAACAGGTTGAGGAAGATGTCAGTAGTTTCATTGGGGACAGCTTTGAAGACTTAAGAATTAGATTGTCCATAGTAACCTGAATTGACAACCTGCAGAGGAAGATAAGACAGAAAGAACAAGAGCTAGTATATGTACAGCCATTACATGGAACAGAAACAAAAGATTCAAAACTATAAAAAAGTACTTATGGGTAAATAACACAGAATTTAGCAAGAATTTTAATTTACTAATTATTTTATGCTGTTATGCATGTGTAAATATTTAAATATCCTTTCACTAAAAAAAGTATTTAAATATTTTATAAAATAGAAGTTAACATCAAAGCTTTGTTTTTTAAAAAATCTAGCTTGTTCATACACCTTAGTTCTAAGAACAATGCCATTCTTCAATATTTGAATATTTGAACATATGAAAGGTTACTATCATAACAATACCTGAATGCAAAAAATCTTTAAGATGAGATTCTTTGAGATTCAGATAATCTTATGATAGCAGTATTATGGTATGAGAAATCCAGATATATTCAGTGATAATGTGGATAGATCTAAGTTGATTTTTTCATTCTAAAGAGAAAAATTATTTCAGTATTTTCAAGTGGAAACAAGGGTTCAAAGGAATTATCTGCTACAAGAGATCCAGAACAGATCTTGACTGCAATATTTCTTTTTCACTTTTGGACATATTTTTAAACCCACCTATGTACATATGTTTTGAAATTGTGATGTTGGACTTCAAATGACTACAGTTGCTTTAGGAAGCTGTATTCTAATTGCCAAGGAAATCAAAATTGTTGAGAGCATCTTTAGTAGTACTGAATAGAAAAGTTGCCTCTGTAAAGGGCAAGAAATGAAGTAATTAGCAAGAAGAATGGTGGGCTTCAGGTTTTTTGTATTTGAAGGACAACCCAATCCAAAAACTTTCCTTTTGCAAGGAGAGAGAGGGAAAAAATGAGAATCTTAGGAGAAAACTACATTGTGTCTGTTTTCTGATTCTTCCGAGTTACATTAATGAACATGTCTCATAGCCATGTTGGAGTTTAGCAGGATAAAAATACCAATAATAAAAGTAGGAGCCCTTCCAGAATAAAACATTATTACCTCATAAAAGCACTTGGAACACTTTGATAAAATGGCATCACTACAGGTGCACAGATGCCTTTGATATATACTCTAAATCCACAATATTGTATCATCATGCCTTAACATGTGGAGTTCTTGTGCGACACTAGGGTAAACCCCACTCTACTAACATGGGGTGGTGATCTCTGGGTGTTAACACTAATGCAAAACAAATACCACAAGTGATAACTCTTGGCTGAGAGTGGCCTCACCAGTTTATCAAGTATTTTTCTCCCAACTCTACATATTCATGATGTTGATTGGCACATAGATAAGCTAACTGGATATATTAGAAAGACAGGCAATGTAAGTTACGTAAGATTCTGTTGAGATCATCTCCTTATATTGTAGGACTTTCTCAAGCTACAACTGGAGCAAAGGGTCAAACCAGAATGGTGATGACTGTAGCATGCTTACTGATTGTTATCAAAGCAGCTTTTCTATTGCAGTGTTTATGCAATCTTATCCATGATTAATGTTATGATTTAGTTGCCCATATCATCTATCCATATGACACTCAGCCAAAAATTAACCATGTTATTTTGTATGAAAATGCTAAGCCTCAAAAAATCTAACCTAGGTTACAGTTAATCAAACTTCGTGCAAACAAAGCTTCCATGTGGCTTTGCAAAGTTTGTTCAGTAACTCTTATGTCACTAAGAGTATAATTATTACTCTGAGAGTTATAAACTACTACTGATTATCTGCTTATGATTAAGAATCACCCTGAGGCAACTGAATAGGTGACTATGTACTGGACAAGAAGATAGTCACCGTTATGTTTTCTAGCTATGAATGTGCCAGTGTACAGTAGTAACATATTAATTTTGTCTAGTTCTTGACAAAATTACCCCATCCATAAATTCTAAAGCAATGGATGAATGACTCTCGTTTTGGTAGTAACTTGCTGAAAAACATGTTCTACAGCCTTGTTATTGTTGGGATCCATATAACAGAACCAAAGCTTTCTAAATGTTCCTGTGTAGAATTGGAATTTGCTCATATAGGTGCTCATCTTCTTGGCATAATTCCAAGAACTAATTTTTGACAAGTCTAATGTATATAAATCTAGAACTTAGGTCAACAATGTTGAGCATTTTAGCCAAGTGAAGCATTGTCATTGGTTTCCTCACCTCATCTTAACTTTAGTTGTTGACATTGTCTGGACCAGATAGATAATTAATCTGTTTTAACACTTTCTTCTGGTCTCTAGACAGACAAAAGCCTAAAACAGCTACCAAACAGAGCGATGCTAACTGCAGTATTTTCACTCCCCCCCCCCAACTTTAGTGTTTACGCAGAAGGGCTAAAATGTGATACAGGAGAGAGACAGTTTACCTCTGCTATCTCATATGATATAGTTTTGATTTACTATACCAACCATCACTGTAGAATTGGATAGGCTAATAGGCAAAATTAGTGATAACCAGCAAATGTGAGTTGAACATATTTTGCTATTTGTTTTTTTCTGAAGATGATGTGACACAGCCAAGGGTCTTCCCTGACTCCAATATTTTTAAATACATTTTAAAATAATTTCTAATTTTTTATTTGTTTCACTTTCAATTTTTGACTTCCAACTTTTATCCGGAGGACTGACATGTCTTTGGTTTTCTTTTATCAGAATGCTTTTTAATATTAATGGGTAGGAAAAAGAGGGCTCACTTAAGGTCTGCACATATAAGCCAAAGAAAATCCTTGAAGCAACTAAGAGCTGATAATCTAGTCCCTGAACTGAATTACATGCCTGTCGGAGTTACTGATGTATTATGAGTAATCAAATCAGTGGTCTGTCTGACTCAGGAGCAGAGACAGTTCCAGGGGCAGAGGTTATAAGCAACTGAGACTTGTGACACATATCAGTGTCTTGCCTACTACTGGAATCTCCCTTGTCAGAACAATGCAATTTAGATTGCTGAAAACAACCTGAAGTTTTATTTTTAAAGAGATATAGACTTAGGGTACAGATCCTTTATATTTTAAACAGTACCACTTATTCCCTTTTGACTAGACTTAAGAAGAAGAGTGGCTGTCCATTAAGGGGAATCAGTATACGTACTTATTTCTGTTAGGCTCTCATGCTTACACTTTATTTTATAGTATTGTGAACAAGTTACTATAGCTCAGTGATGGTAAACCTTTTAGAGACTGAGTGCCCAAACTGCAACCGAAAACCCACTTATGCATCGTAGGGTGCCGAGTAGGTGTGGCCCATTGGCTGGGTGTGGCCCATTGGGTGGGCATGACTGCGGTGGTAACGGCAGACTGGGTGGGACTAAAAAGTTCAATCGATCAATTCCAACTTTGCAAGATCTTTTTTCCCCCCGCGAAAAGTTGAATTTGACTGATTGAACTGTTTTTTTTTGCACATGGCGGCGGAGGCCTAAAGCGAAAAGATTTTATAAAACCCAGCTGAAGGCCTAGGACTGAGGCGAATGGCGCACGTGCCCACAGAGAGGGCTCTGAGTGTCACCTCCGGCACCCGTACCATAGGTTCGCCACCACTGCTATAGCTATTCCCCTGAAAGTTGGCCTAGCCAATTTGCTTCTAAGAAGTGGGCATTTTCCAGCTTATACCCAATTTCTCAAATTAATAGTGAATGAGAGAGTTTTGGATCTTGGCCCTTGAATTTAACCTCCCAATTTACAAGTTGTATAATAATCACTGATTTCAATGCCAGATTGGGGAGTAATTATAAAGCTTTTCTCCTGCATCACAGTGCCCCATGATCTTCCTCAATTGAGGAGACTTCCCAGAAATCTAAGGATTCTGGCAATAACACGGGTTTGGAAGTTTTTCTTACTGGCAACAAAATATGACTTAAATATTCTTAAAGAATCTATTCCAGAAGGATCCAGCGGGTGAACTCATTATTAGGGATTCTAGAAGGGTAT